CTGCAAAGGTACTTTTCTCCTTTCCAGTTCCTTAGCCAGACTCATAAAGTGGTAGTGTCTTAGGCCACCTGACAGGCCCATCCTGCATTAGCAAGAAACCATACCACAAATAAACAAATAAACATTATTATGTCTAGCTTCTTTTCCACTTCTCTACTGGTATATATTTGGGGCAGGGGGACTTTTCTATCTATCTTCTGATCATTCATGGGATTTGAACTTTTCATGTGAATATCTCTTTGGTAACACCCAAGGCTGTTTGTCAGTATGTCTGCTTTCAGAAGGATCCACCCATTTCCATACTTCCTTGCTCTCTTTCTTCTTCACACATGATGTCTGGAGTTTACTCACGTAGTTCATTGTTCCTGGTCATGGCCTGGGCTGCCCGAGCTCGTGGCCCCTGCTGTGTAAAGTGGTAGCCAAAGCGGACAATGGAGGGACACTGCTCTAGCACGGTGGCCATCTCCATCTCCACTGCATCACCAGGCCACTGACGCTGGGGGAGGGAGAGGCAAAAGCTGTCGGTCACCCTCTTTGGGTTGTTCACCATCCCATACCACAGACCACTTTGGGAGGCTCCAAAGTGGGTGAAGGAAGGTGCTGACTTTGCTCCTCTCATAGAGACAATCAAGAGGAGAATTCAAATGAGATTAAGTAAGATAGCTGCCCTAGCAGCTGGCTCAGGGAAGAGGCTAAATGAGTATTAGCTGAATGCTAAGACCAGGGGAAGGGAACACTGACCTGGTTGTCTACACGGAGCTCGGTGAGTGTGGCATTTTCCCGAACTGCCTTCAGTACAGCCATAAGCCCTGTGCTGCTAATGAAGTTGGATTCAATGTTCAGGCTCTGAAGGCTACGATTCTCACGCAACATGTCAGCCACCGCCTGGGTAGTAGGGACTTGGGTTAGGATTAGGGGAGTTTCACAGATGACTGAGGAGAGAAAGAACAGAAGCAAGAGGGAAACACAGCTCTTTGAGAAGAGTCCTGGAGGAGCTGTAAGTGGGGCTAGCGGGAGACAGAAGTGAGGGTAGGTAGTAAGGGAAAGCAGGGAAATTAAGTGTGCAGAGGAGTTGGGGGTGTTAGAAAGGGTTGTAGCCCTTTGGGAAAATGATCTCAGAATTTCAGAGTTGTTATCCAAAGGACTGAGGATTGGAGTCTTCAGGAGGGCTGCCCTAAGAAGGCATGATGGGAATAGGATCCCCTAGCACAACCCTTTATGACAGCCCTTCCAGGGGTAATGTGTGGGGAGAGGGCTGGCGACCTCAACTAGCCTTACATTGGCAATGGGGTCACCACTCCTTGTGGCCACCAGACTGAAGCTCCGAACATAGGTATTTGTCTTCATTGCCTCACACAGCTCACTTAGCATGGGTATTGGGATGTCCTATCAGAGGAGAATAGGAGATAGTGGGCTAAGGACTCTCATATGTCAGCAGAGTTATCCTGGTGTTACTGTTTGGAGGATGGGAGTCAAATACCTGTATGTTATTGAGGTTCACCTCCTCTAGCTCCTTGTCATTGCTTCGAACCTTCTTTAGTATCTCCTCAATGTTTGTGGGATTTGGGGGTTCATCCGGCACTGGCTTATACTTGTCAGGCTGTACCACACCTAGTGGGTGAGTACAGGAAGGGAACCCCAACATGTCCCCCACAATCTCCTCCCCATTGGTTCTCTTATCACTCATGCAACATGTCCTCTGCTGGATTCATTGCTTTACTCTTTGCTACCTTTTCCCAAACTATGGGACTGCCTGCCCAGAGCCCTAGGGACCACGCTTCCCAAACACACTCACTGCTAATGCCTTCGGTGTTGCAGATTTCTCCACTGCAGATGGCATCATAGTATTGCTTGTTGCTCATCAGTGTGTACATGCCCAGAATTGCTGGAGAGGGTAAGCAGAGGTAGCACAGGGAATGAGAAGGGACCTTTTCTAACCCCCTTACTACCTCATTGTGAATCTGGTACAATTTTAAAGTCTGACCACTTCCATTCTTCCAAAAAGGTTTTCCACCCACCCTCAGCCCCAGGGGTCCCTTCTATAAACTGCCTAAGGCAGTAGTTTCTAAAACATTGAGGAAGGGCTATAGGAAGGTCCCTAAGGCACCACTAGAAGGTAAAGGAGTCTGCAGAGAACTGATTTCAGCCAATATAGCTCCACTTTTATTTGCTCTTACAATCCCTGGAAAATTGTTCAAGATGTTAACTTATTAAATATAAGTTATATAAATATATATATATAAACAAAAATATATATATAAAACATATATATAAACATATATATGTTAAATATATATATATATATATAAACAAAAATATATATATAAAACATATATATAAACATATATATGTTAAATATATATATATATATATAAACAAAAATAAGTAAGAAAACTATAAACTCACTGCCTGAGACTTTCTCAGACATCTATGTCCTGGTTCAGGGCCTTCCTCACTAGTCCCTACATCCTAATCTTCCCACCCTCCAGCTACCCACAGCTGCCCACCTGCAATATCACACATTTCAGCATCTGTGGCATGCGCCAGTGCTTCCTCCAGTTCAGGCTCCAGGGTGATCTGCTCCTGTGCTGGGATTTCCCTCTTGGGCTGAATATAGGGTTTCCCTGATGAGGAGATGAAGGATGGTTCAGGTAGAGGTAATTTCTTCCAAGATCCTGGCCTCTGGCTTCCTTTCCTTCTCCAGGAGGTAGAATGCTGGGTCACTAGGGAACACTGGAAAGCCTGAGTGTTCTGATCCCTCATAAGAACTGAAGAATGCAAGTTGGCATGCAAGTGTCAGAACATTCAAGTCCCTGGGCAGCTAGGAGCTGGAAGGCCGAGAGTGAAGCTGGAGGAGGAGGGGGTACATGTGAGAGACAGCCACTTGGGTTCTGGGAGGCATGGATGTCGGGGTCCCCATACCCTTCTTCTCGCCTGTGAAGGGCACCAAGTCATCACGCTCTTTGACTTCTAGTGCCTGCTGCTCCAGGTACTGCAAAAGGGCCTCTCGGTCCAGAGGCCCCGTTGGGCTCTTCTTTGTCTGGTCACGTTGTCTTAGTCCAGCTGGCAGGAGCATGTTCTTAGGGATGAGTTTTGGGGAGCAAGTCAGACCTCCCCTCTGACCTGGGGTACTTCTAGGGCTCCCTAAAACATCTCCAGACCCCTTTTTCCTGGCCCTCTTGGGACTCCAGGTCCTGTAGGTAGCCCTGATCTCAGCCACCCAGACCCCAACACCCTTCCCAAATGCCTGGGACTGCCCCTGGTGCTCTGTGCTAGAGCCCCTACCTCAGGGTCCATCTCCTGTAGCTCGCAGTCCAGCTGCTCTAGCTCCTCAGGGCTCAAGGTTCTTAGGATCTCATCTTCATCTATGTCTCTGTATTTCTCCAGTTCCTTCTGATATGATGACATGATGGCCCCTACCCCCTCCCCAATGTGTGGCACTCACAGAGCCTGGGGGACATGAGAAAAGTGGTTGGACATGGACACAGTAGGGACACAGAAACCAGCTGGGGGCAGAACACTGAATTGGATACCTTGGAGGTTAGAAATCTAGTTGGAGATGGGAGGACAGGGGAAGGTTAGGTTGTTTACGGTTAGAACCAGAGTCTCCTTCTTCCTGCTTCCCCAGCTTCCAGCCACTCTGGATGGGGATCCCAGGCATCCAAGCTGGGGTTGTCTCCCCACTGTATGACGGAGAAGTCCTCGTAGTACCCCTCCCATATAACCTCAGCCTGCAGTGCCTCTTGCCCTAGCACAGCTGCTGGAAGCCCTGCCAACACAGCTGGCCCCTTGCCCAGGTCCTATTGAAAGGGGTTAAGGGGGAGACACAGAGCTTCAGGGAAATTCCTTCTCTCTTTCCCATAATCCAGCCTTTTCCCTAAACTGGTTAAAGAAAGCAAGAAAAACTGGAGGTGGGGAGGAAGAAACAATCTCTTACCCTACCCTAATTTCCGCTTTTATTGTGGGGGATCAAGATTTCACTTTCTTTATATGCTAAAATTCTAAATCCTAAGGGAAAGCAAGGCTCAGAAAAGCTATGGAACTTTCAGATTGGGGGAAATGTGGTAAGGCCTCAGGAGAAGCGACAGTCCCCATAATTTGTCCCTAGCTTTGGATAGGAAGGTGACACCAGACCAATGGGTGGGAAATGCCTTCTAAATGGGGTAAAATTTCTCTAAAAACAGTGGGAAGATTAAACTTGCACAATCTTTTACAATATAAAAAATACAAGCTACACATATACATCATGCAGAATATGAAAGATCTATAAAGTGTGTGACACATTGACAATGTAAATTATACACAGTTAAGGGATCAGACAGTGGCAGAGACATACACTGACAGAGACAGAGACAGAGACATACTCCGTATCATTCCCCACAGGAGCCATTCTTCTCCTCCCATCTCCCACCAGGCTCTTGCCCATAAGCCCCCTGCCTTCCCCACCTACCAGTCCTGTGGCCACCTCCCTTCTCACTTCCCCCTGTTGGTTGGTCCGTCTGTTCTACTGGAGCACTGTCCTGGCAGCAGGAGGAGCCCAGTGCCGGGGGAAAGGGTGGGGGCACAGTGAGCTCAGCATTTTATTATTTTAGCTCTGGCCAGGTGGGGGGTAGTGGGAGATCACATATACACAGCCCCCATACCCTGCCCAGCCCTGAGAGCCTCTAGTGGCCATTAACAGCCATGGCACCTCCTCCCCTTCTTTTCTTACAAGGCAGAGTCCTAGACACTGGAGTTCGACTAGAATCAGGCAGTCGGTACTTATTTGATGTCTGCTATAGTCAAAGCAGTGAATATAAGATGATATAAAGGTCAATGTAAGGATTTTCTTTTGGTGTCTAATTTTAAGGCATTTATAATCTAGTTAGAGTAATGAATACTTTATAATTTAAAAAGGACAGATTATAATAAATGCTATTAAGTAAATACAAAGACCCATCCATATATATTCACACATTCACAAATACTTCTTGTTCCCAACTCTACATTGCACACCGGACAAAAGGGATCTTTCTATTTTATTAGATTAAAAAACACAACAAAACCAGTGGGAACTAGGGGAAAAGATCAAGAAAGAAATATAGAAAAGGGTTGGGCAAAGAACAGAGGTGACAAGGGGAGAAGCAAGAAGAGAAGGAACGTCAAGAGGCCCAAGTAAGGGCCAAAAAGAGGTTTGTAAGGACTACACATCTCTTCATTTGATGACAATTTTCTGGCGCAAGGCTCGGGGCCCAGAGCCAGGCAGGGGATCAGGAGGTGGTGGGCCAGGGCCCAGGGCCGAGGCAGTGGGTGGCAGTCCGTGGGCAGTAATGTACTTCTTGTAGGCCTCACGGATGATCTTGAAGGCTCGAGCAGTTGCATAGGGTATGTCTGTAACAGGGTCCCGGTATAGGGCTGGACGATGGGTCACTGGGCAGACCTCCCGAACAGGGACCTTTGGGGGACGTCCTTGGGGAAACCATTCCTCAAATGTTGCATCATCACTAAAAGTGATGAAGGTACGTGAGCAGCGACCAGGGGGGATGACAGGTCCAGTTCCAGCATGGGGAGTCAACGCAGAAGCCATGGGAGCAGGATCAAGTCTGAGGGCAAAAGACAGAGAAAAACACAAAAAGCTGGGGAGAGAAGACAACAGATAAAGAAAGAAAGAAATCAGCAAGATGAGGAAAGAGAAAATGAAGGCACAGTGGTGAGAACATTCCGAGAGAACCTACTAAATAATAGGGGGAAAAGAAGCTAGGCTAGAAGGGAAAAGAAAGAGTTGAAGAACAAGGCTAAATGAAAAGGGATTAAGAAAGAAATGAGCTGAAGGGAGGAAGGAATCTGAAAGAAATCCAACAGTTAGGGAGAGCCATGTGAGGAAAGCAAGTGAGATGGGGCTGAGAGAACATGAGCTGACGACGGATTCTCTTTTCCCCCAAGATTCACTTACCCTTCTATATCAACAGTCTCTTCCTTGGGGCCCAGCTCCCCAACAAGCGGCACTGTCACTGAATGATAGGTGATTATGGGCCCAGGGCACTTCCGCTTCTTATGAACCTGCTTCTTTTTGTCAGCCTCCAGCCGTTCATATGTCTCTTCAGGGTCAAAGGAAGGAAAGATGGGATGGATGGTCAGAGGTTCCCCTTTTCCCACATGATGGTTCTATCCCTCCCATGATCTCTCAATTATCTTCCAGGCTGTCACTGCCAACTAACTACCCGAGCCAACTATGAAAAGTCCCCTAAGGCCCTCTGACATCTCCCACTTCATAAGTTTCTGCTTTCCCCTCTCAACATACTCTCTTCTCCTCATTTCTCAAGTACACTCAGACCCTCACCCACTCAGACCAGTAATACCTCAGTGTTGGAAGGCACCCTTTGATGAGGAGCTTCTTAATTCCCCAGATACCAGAATCTCCTCTGTAACTGCTCTATGAACTCACTCTCATCCAAAATGGCATATTATAATGTTACAGAGTTCTTTCCTCTTCTGAGCTGAAATACATTCCTGAAGACAGTTTTACCTTTTAAACTCATAAAGGACAAAATGCTAATCTGGCTTCCATGTGATAGCTCTTTAAATAGTTGAAATGAGTGTCCATATTTCCACTGAGTCTTCTCTACGCTGATCACAACACCCATTCCATTAAACCATTCCTCATACAGCATGGTTTTCAGTCACTCCCTCAATTTTGCCACCCCTTTCCCTAGTATACTCTTCTATTACTGTACTTATTGTTTATGGCAGAGGTTGCTAGCTGGCACTTAAGTGTTTGATCTATATAGTGTTTTAGAGAAAAATGTAATTAGATGCTGACACTTAAGAATTAGGAAATTGGCCGGGCGCGGTGGCTCATGCCTGTAATCCTAGCACTCTGGGAGGCCGAGGCGGGCGGATTGCTCGAGGTCAGGAGTTTGAAACCAGCCTGAGCAAGAGCGAGACCCTGTATCTACTATAAATAGAAAGAAATTAATTGGCCAACTAATATATATAGAAAAAATGAGCGGGCATGGTGGCGTATCCCTATAGTCCCAGCTACTCGGGAGGCTGAGGCAGCAGGATTCCTTGAGCCCAGGAGTTTGAGGTTGCTGTGAGCTAGGCTGACGCCAGGGCACTCACTCTAGCCTGGGCAACAAAGCAAGACTCTGTCTCAAAAAAAAATAAAGAAAGAAAGAATTAGGAAATTATATTTAAATATAGAGATTTCTAGTCTCTCTTAATAAACAAGAAAATCTGAGAATCCTGGGTCTGCATACAGGGCAACAATTAGCTGAGCTGAGTAATTGTTCTTCCTTTCAGGCACTTCTCTTCAATTTATACCACAATCCTCCTGGCTGGCTGCACTCTTTATGTTACCTGCCTGGCTTCTGTGACACTGCTTAATGGCAATTCACATGTCTCCTCCTTAAGGGCAGTGACTGTGACTCACATTACCTACATATTATCAAGGTCATAAAACATTCTGCACATTACAGGCACTCAATAAATATTTGTTAATGAATAAATAGATCAAAAATATTCCTGATCCCTTTCCTCTGAAGGAAGCCCAAATTTCTGTGTCCTTCTTAAAGGTGGGAAAGGTGAACGCAATCCTCTAAAGTCTGACCATAAAAGGGTCCTCTGGAAACATCTTCAGGGATAGGATTTCTCTTGAACTTGAATTCACGTTGGTAATATTGCTTTCTCTCCCTTGAGACAACATTCCAACCCCTGTCCTACTGAACACTTCCCTATACCCTCTCAAACTCCTGCTCTATAGTGAGATAGCTCACTTATATCCTCAAGCCTCTTCACTCAGAATTCCTTCCACAACTTGCCTTACCACCGGAAACCTGGTCATTCACTGAGGCCATCACTCCACCCTGCAGTTCTCTGGTGGAGGCTGCTCATTCTCTTACATCTCACACAAGATATTCCTTTGTCCTATTGAGCCCCATGACACAGCTTTCAGATCACTACTCTCCCACCCATCTGCAAACTCCCTTCTCTTTTAAGACTTGTGCCAACAGTCTAGATTAACTTCTGTATCCTAATGACAGTCATTTCCTTACTCACTAAAGACTTTGGCAGTGTTATCCACTTTTTCTCTCCACCCCAACTCCTATCATCTTAGGTCACCTTAGTGACGGCAAAAGTGCATGTAGGCTGGGCAAGGTGGCTCACACCTATAATCTTAGCACTCTGGGAGGCTGAGGCGGGTGGATTGCTCAAGGTCAGGAGTTCGAGACCAGCCTGAGCAAGAGCAAGACCCCATCTCTACTAAAAAAAAAAACAGAAAGAAATTAATTGGCCAACTAAAAATATAGAGAAAAAAATTAGCCAGGCATGGTGGCACATGCCTGTAGTCCCAGCTACTTGGGAGGCTGAGGCAGAAGGATTGCTTGAGCCCAGGAGTTTGAGGTTGCTATGAGCTAGGCTGATGCCACGGTACTCTAGCCTGGGCAACACAGTGAGATTCTGTCTCAAAAAAATAAATAAATAAAATAAAATAAAATAAAATAAAATAAAATAAAATAAAATAAAATGTGTATGTAAGTAGCCCCTTCAACACTCCAGCCCCACGGTTTCTTCAGCACCCCATTATCTAACAACCTTTTTGTCCATGACACTTTAGTTATTCCATTATGCTACAGCTACAGCCTAGAATATGTCATTCCTGGAAACTTTCCCATCTCTGAAATATTAACAATCATACATCCCATGCTCTGACCACAAAATCCTATCCTTTAGGTCTGTCTACTCCACTACTCTGTTCTATTTCTTTAGTATCTCTAGGGCATTCTCATTCTATCCATCAGCCCCTTCCAGCCTTCATTTTCCTTTTTGTTTTTTAATTTTTTGGAGACAGTTTCGCTCTATTGCCCTGGCAGTGACATCATCATAGCTCACTGCAACCTCAGACTCCTGGGCTCAAGTGATCCTCCCACCTCAACCTTCCAAGTAGCTGGGACTACAGGCACACACTACCATGCCTGGCTAATTTTTCTATTTTTTGTACAGACAGGGTCTCACTTGTGCCCAGGCTGGTCTTGAACTTCTGAGCTCAAGTGATCCTCCCACCTTGGCCCCCCAGAGTGCTAGGATGATAGGCATGAGCCACCAGGCCTGATCATTTTCCTTTTTAAATTGAGCTTAGGGCTGGGCGTGGTGGCTCACTCCTGTAATCCTAGCACCCTGGGAGGCCGAGGCAGGTGGATCGCTCAAGGTCAAGAGTTTGAAACCAGCCTGAGCAAGAGTAAGACCCTGTCTTCTAATAAAAAAATAGAAAGAAATTAATTGGCCAACTAAAATATATATATATAAAAATTAGCCGGGCATGGTGGCACATGCCTGTAGTCCCAGCTACTTGGGAGGTTGAGGCAGGAGAATCACTTGAGCCCAGGAGTTTGAGGTTGCTGTGAGCTAGGCTGATGCCATGGCACTCTAGCCCAGGCAACAGAGTGAGACCTGTCTCAAAAAAAAAAAAAAACTTAACTTAGGTTCCTCAACTATCAATTTTCAGTCTTCTCTGCATCAATAACTCCCTGCCCAGATCTGGAGTGCATAGGAAGAAAAATTACACAACAGAGTAGACTGAACAAACATAAATTTCATGTCCAACCTCCAGCAGGTTAATAAACTATTTCAAATAATCCGTCACATCTCACGTTCCAGCTCTATCCTCAATGTGACAGATAGGCTTCTTCACAGAGAAAATAGATATCAGATGAGAATCACTGCAAGTCCGCTCTGATTAGAAAGCCTACCACTATAAGCCACTCCTCCTTTCTCCTTCTCCCTCTTAACTTAGGCCATTCATCCACCATGCTCTAGCTTCCCACACCCAAAGCTTCCCTACTTCAAAAATCTTCATATAATATCCTTTCTTGCTCCTCTATCTCTAAACTCTCTTCAGTTGTTTCTCACCCAAAGATGTAAATCTCTATCATCTCTGACATACAATAAAATAAACAGTTCAACCTTAATTTTAGACTGCCCTATAGTTCCTATCTTCACCTACCTATAACCACAATTAAAATTATCACTCACACAATATCCCCAAACTTTTTATATGGCAGCCCAAAACAAAAAACTCGCATAGGTCATCTCTGACCTCCATGTTTACCAAAACCAATGGAACAATGTAAGTATCTCCATTACACAGTCGACTCATAGTATACCAGACAGTTAATCTCTTTTGAAACATCTCTTTCTTGTGTTTTTAACATAACTTCCTGATTCTATCAAACTCCCTGCGACTCCTCTCAGGTTCTATTCTAAGCTTCCTCTTCCTTGTCGCTTTGTTGAAACCATTACATATTAAAATAGTGTCGCAGGACCCTCTTGGGCCTCTGTTTCTCCACTATATGGCTTCTGTCCTGTATGTTCTGATCACTCAATGGTCATCAATTACCACTCCCATATTCTTTTTTCTTTTGGAGACAGAGTCTTCACTTTGTTGCCCAGCTAGAGTGAGTTGCGTCGGCGTCAGCTAGCTCACAGCAACCTCAAACTCCTGGCTCAACATCCTTCTGCCCAGCCTCCCGAGTAGCTGGACATACAAGGGCTGCGCCACCATGGCCGGCTAATTTTTTTTCTATAATATAGTTGGCCAATTAATTTCTTTCTATTTATATTAGAGGCAGGGTCTTCGCTCTTGCTCAGGCTGGTTTCGACTCTGACCTTGAGCAATCCCCGCCTCGCCTCCAGAGTGCTAGATTACAGGCGTGAGCCACGCGACCTGCCTCATATTCTAAAGACGTCCAAAATATATATTTAGCCAAGATCTCTTGTTGGAACATACAGAATTATGCATATTTTTTTTTTTTTTTTGAGAGCAGAGTACTCACTTTGTTGCCAGGCTAGAGTGAAGTGCCGTGGCGTCAGCCTAGCTCACAGCAACCTCAAACTCCTGGCTGCAAGCGATCGTTCTGCCTCAGCCCCCCGGTAGCTGGGACACACAGGCATGCGCCACATGCCGGCAAATTTTTTACTAATATATAATCAGTTGCCAATTAATGTCTTTCTATTTATAGTAGAGACGGGGTCTCGCTCCAGGCTGGTTTTGAACTCCTGACCTCCGAGCAAATCCGCCGCCCTCGGCCTCCCAAGAGCT